GCTTATTCATTCCATTGTTCTCTCCGCTGAAAATTAATGGTCTTGTAAGTTTCCTGAAAATTCGCAAAAATTGAAATGATCTTTTTTTAACATACGTAGCACAGAAATCATTGTCTCGGCGATGTTTTTTAAGAGATCTTAAAATTTAACACAAACAAACAGCAGTTTTCATGTTGTGGTTCATTTTGATAAAGTAGAATTAGTTCGTGTTAATTAAATCAAAGCAACATTTACACATTCTTTTAAATGTTCCTGGTTTGAGAACCATTTCATCAGAAATTTAATTTCATTCATCATTTATACAATCGATACGATCTTTTTCATCATGATCACCTGTATTCATCATGAACACCTTATCTGCATCAGGTGTTGTCATATGTTTTATGTTATTGTTATTATTATTTATGTCTTTGTTTTTGCATGAATTTAAAACCATCTGTACCTTAGAGTACCGCTAAGGTTGTAGAAACGTCAGTCAACAACAACAAAAACAGTCCTTCTCAGGACTATACCAACCTGGACGATCTACATTTACAAATATGTAACGATACTCCCGGGCTCAAACCATTTACTTTATATACAGCTATGTAAAAAAATAATAAGTTGATGATATGTACAACTATATATAAAGTTAAAATTGTAAAAAGAAGAAATAGTACGGTTCTACCTGGTTGCCGTGTGGGAGTCGGTTTGATTGAAATATGGAAACTCCAGCATACTTTTAAACGCCGTTGAATTCGACGTTAACCTAAGTGGCTCTGGTAAGTTGTTCCAAAGATAAACTCCATATATGAGAAGGAACGTTTTAAATAATCTGTTTTAGGTTTTGGAATGAACAACTTGCGATAGGAATTTCTGAGGGAGTACTGACATCTATTATCACTAAACAATTCTTGTAAATATAGAAGGGTTTGACCGGAAAGTGTTTTAAATATAAAAATAGCTTTTTGTTTTTGACGAATAGTACGTATATTATCACACTTCAATTTTTCATGGAGATGGTGAGATTGGACGTCATATGTTGAGCACGTTTTGACGCGGGCTGCTCTATTTTGGAGTTTTTAAATGTTCTAGCAATCACGCCCCTTTCTCCTCTAATGAAATGCTGTACCACTTTTATACACTGGCATCAATAAAAATAACTGTGAAATGTCTACACATGCACGTATGGAATCACACATCGTCTTCTGTTCCGTTTAAGACAAAGTATCCTTCTCTGAAAAAGTTGGTCAAAGAAATTTTGTCTTTGTCTATTCAATCTGGTGAACACTCTTCGGTAAGAATCATAGTCCAAATTAAAAATTCGAACTTCCTTTTATTAACATTACCTACGTATATAGTTACGGTGATTTTAAAGCTATTCTTTCAGCTAATTTGGTGTCATTGTTTTTTTCCAAAGTCTGTGAGTTTATAAAATTTATTTATATAATTGGGTTGCATACCACAAATTATCGTGTACATGGGAGCGCTTATCGGAGAGTGTGATCCCTCCCAGCTTTTTTGAAATATGCTGAGATCATTACTTTTGTACTAATTTATTTGTAATAGGTTGAAGACGCTCGCGCTGCAATGAATTTATATCTTCACAGTCGTAGAGAATGGGAAAAGCAAATGAAAAGAAGACCTACAAAGAAACATGGTTGACGGTTTAGAGTGTTTATGACACCGAATTTTACTAAAGAATTTTCTTATTACAATGTAAATATAATTTAAAATGACTTAACAAATCCTTCAATAGAATTGTGAATCTTATGTCTTTTTAAAGGCATTCTACTTTTTTACCATGCAAATTATATCGTTATGACATCAAATTATTAATTTAGCATTGGAAAATAGTTTATTTGTCGATAGTCAGCAGTTAAACCTTTCAACCCTTTGCAAATGAATTCATCCTTAAGGTTATTTTTTGAAATACTGTATTTGTGCATAATATGGTCAAACGATGTGGAAAAATTGATGATCTTTACGATGTGGAGAATTGATGTCATAACGATGTTGTTATGCATAATGAATATCAAATGTCTCTTGATAAAGGAACTGAAAGAAGCCAATTCTACTGAAGAGTTTATAAAGTGATTTATATGTTCTTTCCACTACAACAGAATAATCGTGATAAAATTTTGTGTCATAAACTCTTTAAATAACTCTGACCTACTGATTGACATTTGTCCATCCTGCTTATTTTTGTAAATGTCCAGTGAGGTATCATTTTGTATGCATTCATTAATTCGAGAATTCTATATGAGTTTGTTTTGTTAAAAACTTTCAGTCTGAGGATTCGACAATTGAGATTGAGTATAGAGCTCATAATGTTGTTTATACGCAAGTAAGATTTCAAGGAAACGTAAATCATTAGCAAAGCAAGATGTGTTGAATTTCAATTAAAAAATACCAATCATAAAATATCACAACGACAATTTAGATTTTAAACATAAGTATGATTCGTAAATCTTTTTAAATGCAGCTTAAAATTCCCTCAATTTTATAATTCCGTTTTACCTAATGTGTTCAAATTTAGTCACAAGTTGAATTGAAACAAGATCCAAATGAGCATTGCTTTTCAAATATTTTTTTCTCAGAGAAGTAATGTACTTTACGGATACCATCGTTTGGTTTTTTGTTCGTATAACTGCAGAAAACATTGCTTTAATGACTGCATTATGAAGAACTTCGTGAATAAAAACCAAAATCTTTAAAAAACTTTTTTTGCCATGACAACAGTAAAATGCCGCTGAACAAATATGTGTTAAAAATATAATTGGCCACGTTTTGGGAAAAGCCACGACTTTTTGATGTTGTTTGTGTCTTCAGCTGTTTGTCTCTAAAAACTCTCTAATTAAACAACGCAGTAAATTTTGCCTTTGTTTTTACGTTCAAAGCAGAGATACAGAAAGAAAACGAAACGATTTAATTACAACTACCTGTTTAAACCATTAATTATCTTATTTGTTCTTACTCCATAAGAGATATCAGATACATGATGAAAACGCCAGAAAGAATTCCCAAGTTTTGATAGAAAAATGTCCACAAGCCAGTTTTAAAATCTTCTTCGGCCAATTGAGTACATAATTCCGGAAGCTGTGAAAGAAAATTGAAAATGAGAAAGTTATATTGACGGTAGTGAAATACCTAATGGTAACCAAACTGACCATTCTATATATGTATGCTGAATTTTTCGGCGTCCTAGGAATTTCCTGTTTGTACAAAATTTAATGCACGAAAAGTAAATAATTAGATATTCTTCATATTTTCTTATTCTCATTATCGCCATTTTATAAAATTTTCAGAAATTTTTTTATGAAGAAAATTGTCCGTATTCTAAAGGCTCATTTATACTCACATGCTTTTTGACTATGACATAAATATTGCGCTTTCTTTTGTTATCGCTAAAGCCGTCATTCTCCATCGATATTAAGACTTTAGCATAATTATTTCCAATCAATTAAAGTGAAAAGGCTATCTTCCAGTAGTTACGAGGAGATTTTGAAGACACACTCATTAAGTGTGAGTGAACTTTGAGAATAAGGGCGTATTAAAGGTTTTTCCATTGCTAATTAACTGTATATTCATGGTGTGCAAGTACGTCATGGCCGCCATGTTGGATGATTTTAACGGATTCCCTTATTTGCAATGCAAATGTTATCCAACATGACGAACATTCCATTATTCTCTCACTCCCAGTCGAATGGTTGCACACCACCTACATAATAAAATAATAGCAATAGCAAATCAAGTATAGCAATTTGCTTAGTTATTATAAGTAAACGCATGCTTTCAGGGATATTAGTGATTAAATGTTCCGAAAACCGAGGGAGGTTTACTAAACCTCTTGAGGCTTAAGAGAACATTTAATCACAAATATCCCTTTAAAACCTGCGTTTATTTTGTAATCACATGGTTGTGGAGGGAATAATCAATGCATTAGACTGTTCAGTTTGACAATAGTTTCATCAAATTTTAAGCTCACTCATATTGACAACCAATTAAATTGACGGTTTTTAAAGCGCACATTGTTCATGGTCAGTGTTCGAATAAAGAAATTCCCATCTATCTATTTAATTGTGATTTCTGTTTTTGAATTGGTTCAGTGAACCTGTGTATGAATTTGCTTTGCAAATACATGTTGTATTTTCATTATTGTTGAAGGTATTAATTGTGGTTCATCACTGTTTTTCCCAAGTTAGTGACAAGAAAGTTTCTAAGGTGAGGGAATGATAATTTCTGTAACAACTCAACGACGTAAATTGTGAGGCACTAAGGCTTGAAATAACGCAAGTTTGGCGATCTTGAACCATAGGTCGAAAGATTTACTCATGTCTGAATGTGAAGAATTAACGATGTAACAACAGTCGACCAAGTTCGACTTGGTAAACTTGCTCTTGAATTGTTGTTGTTTCAAAGGACTTGCCAAAAAGACATGCTATTAATCTTAATCATTAATCTTTCATTTAGCAGAATTGAAAATGATTCAGCATTAAAAAAGATAGGATGCAAGCTGAAACAATTCTTACATGACGAAAATAAAATTTGAAAACAATATAGGCGTATTGTTTTATTGATGAGGAATATTTAGTCTGATCGTCCCTAATGAATATATCGATGAGGGTATTTAGTCCAATCGTCCCTAATGAATATATTGATGAGCGAAATTCGACAGTACACGTCCCTGTGATAACAAAAAATCCTGAGGCAACCATGTGATTATTAAAAGTATAGATAAGTTAAAAATTGAAAACTTAAATTCTATACGGTTTCACAAATCAGGCCCTTAGTGTTTTTGAAACGAATGAAGGCATATATAGAGATTTTAAAATGGACTTGCTGTGGTGATTTAAAGAATGTGTAAAGCTACGTGCAAACGCGCTCAACATGTTCACTCAGCATTGTAGACTCAACATGTTGAGCGCATTTGCACAGCCTTTTGAGTGGTGTTGAGATGTGTTGAGCGGTGTTGAGAGAAGTTTGGACTTGTTCAAACATTCGACTCAACAGTGCTCAACATATTCCTTCTTCCGCGCTCATCGATGCGTGTCTAAACATTGTTTAATGCGTTTGCACAGCTCACTCAACAATGTTGAGCTAACGCATGCGCACTGTGCGGCGTACATTATAGTAAAAATGCTATCACTGAACTGTAAATGTGTGTATAGTTCTCGCCGTTGCTAGGCATCTTGGAATATTTTATCTCATAGGCTCAACATCGCTCAACACGTTGAGAGCGTTTGCATACATCGCTAAACATCACACAACAAAAGCAAGACAATGTTGAGTGCATATTGAGTCAACATGTTGAGCGCGTTTGCACGGAGCTTAAGTAATAGTAATGAGAAGATATGAGCCTATAGTAATTAGAAATATCTTTAACGTACCATATCTACAAGAGAAATATAGAGAAACATTCCGGCAGTAATGGCCAGTACCCACACGATCGACGACTCATTACTACCAATAAGGATGCCACCAATCATGCCAAGAAATGAAATTAAGCCAGAGATCATATTGTAAGTTATAGCTTGCTTTACTGTCATACCAGATTTAACCAACACGGCAAAGTCACCTGCATATCGACAAATGAAAGTAGAATTATTTCAGTTTCCATTCATGTATGGTTTCAGAATTTACAAGACTAGCCTTGGATAATATTTTCTCACAATACTTTTCATGTTTTCGGGGAGCGTACGACGTTGTTAAAACAAAGCTGGATTTATGTCTTCTCTAATGTAGTGTGTAATATTACACTGCAATAGTGCTGCATTCATTTTCTATGTTAGCGAAAATGTAAAATCAATTTGATTTTATTATAAATATTGAGAAAAATAATGTCAAAATATCAGTAAGGTTTTTCTGAAGCTCACAAGAAAACAGTTTTGAATTTAATGGGTGGTTTTTTTTTGAAAGATACTCTAATAAGGGTCCGATTACATGCAGCAATTTCAGCCCAACCTGAAGCGATTACATGACAGGTTTTTTAGCCCGGGCTGATGTTTACTCTGTGCAAAGAGGTGCAAATGCCTTAGCACAATGAACTTCATGGACTTAGCACAATGAACTTAGAATGCAGCTTGTGATGCATTAAAATATTTATTAAGCTTGTGAAATGCATTAGCGACAATTTCGGTTAATTGGTGAAATGAATGGCAAGTAATCATTTGGAGTGCGTTTTCCATTTTTTGCATTACAGTGCTAATATTTGTATTTTCTAATTTTCATTCATCAAACGGCATATCCTTGAAAACTCAATGCAACCCAATTTTTCTGTTTGGTCAACTATGGAACATTAAATTTTTTCCTTTTTAGTACCTGCTTACCGTTAATCAATTAATTAATTTACAATCCGACTATCAATACTGTCTTGCCACACAGTACAACGATTATGCATGAATATCTGCAAAGCACCTTGCAATCACCTTGTAATCAAAATATCAATTAACAAATAGTAATTCCGTCTTCTGAAAGTACTAGACAATAATATCTGACCAGCTGACCCTAACCTTGTCCTTACACGCGTTTGGATCAGAAAAGCTATAGCCATAACATTTTTTACATAGGTGACCGTGAAACATAATATAGTCTTGCCACCCATAACCCCATGAGCCTCACAATACACTGATTATGCATGTACTCCTTTCAAAAATTCTTGCAATGAGTCTATTAAAATTTGTGAAATGATAACATGCTTTACATACCTAGTTCATGAGGCAATTCATGACAAAAAACAGCTATGGCTGTAGAAATTCCATTGGTAAACGATGCAGAAAATGCTGCTCCTACAGCAAGACCGTCAGCAAGGTTGTGAAAACCATCACCAACGATAACCATCCAAGCCAGAGAAGCTATCTTGGTTGTACTATCGAATTCCTTCTCTGCATGACTATGACCACGATGCTGATCAGATGTGTTGCTCATCTTTGGGTGATTATTGTTTTGTTTAACGTCCTCGGAACATTCCTTGCTATTTGCTGAGCTCTCCAAACTTCCGTGTTTATGTTCAGATTCGTGAATTTCGGAAAGCAAGTCTTCTTTCGAGTTTTCTCGCAATGTGTCAATTTTACGGCCAGTAAAGCTATATTTTAACGCAAAGGTGTTGCAAACAAAATTTCACCAAGTATGAAAAACTAATCAAACCACAAGTCTACTACACAGAACTGTGGTGACTCAATTTTTCATTTTAAGTAGAAGCATGGGTATATATATGTTTTCGAAACAGAGACCTCATACAATTCGAAAAGTATAAAGCATGCAATGATCTACTATTAAATGTGCGTCATTTATTGATCAGATTCAAATCTACTTAATCCAAAATTTAAAGAAATTCTATTTTAGGTATTAACCAATCAAATGGGTCAGAGCAACCCTAATTAAGCTATTTTCTAACTTGGATTAGGAAGATTGTTATGTGATATATGTGATTGCTATCTATAATGGTATAATACCCACTGATATGTATATTAGACTGCATAACGCATCTTTTGCGAAAATTGAAGCCGGAGATCGATCATTCGCTACTGGCTTCATGGGGGGTATCGATCCTACTTTATTATACTTTTACAAAATTCTATTACAAAATCACAGTTTTCGCGTTTTTATTCCTTTTACAAACTTCTGATTAAGGCAAAATATTTATGACATGTAGAGGAAAACCGGTAGAGAGTTTTAACACTGAAGCTCTGTTTTTTTGCATTTGTAACGACTGAAAAATAATATGGGACGTTTTATTGATATTTGAAAGTTGAAGGTGAAAAAGACAAATTCAGCCGTGCGAGGCATTTTCAGAAGATGAATACTTAAAATACAAATTTGCAACAAAGTAAGAACAAAGGTATTCATATCTTCAACATATTCATCGATATTGAATTTGTTCACAGAGGAACTGGTTGAAAACTTTGCTTCTCTTAATGACAACAGAAGCACTTTAATTCGCATATTTTGATGATGTACATCTTGTAGAGTTTGATGATACCGTTTTCAACTCACTATTGTTCATCAAAATTTCTTTCTGATTATTTTTCTATGTCGATTTGTTTTGTTTCTTCACTGATATAATAAAGACATAATTTTAGGATTAAATGTCTTTGCTGGATGTACAAAAGTATAGCAAAGTGGGACCGATACCCCCCACGAAGGTCATAATCAGATGAGCCAACTTCCAGCTTCAATTATCTTACTATATTTTACACATGGATGCATTATCCAGTGTAATATACATATCAGTGATAATACCAGACAATATTATTCCTATGCATGATGCTGCAAATGCAGATCGCAGTATATTAAGTATTCTTGTCTTTATTCGACTTTGTACGTATAAATTAACTTAATTGAAAGATTTCATTGACCGAAGTAATTTAGCTCAGTAGTTATAACTTACCTCTCACGATCACTGCGGTACTGTTCTTTAGGTATGATTGGCGATGGCAGATTTTCTTCGTGAAAAGATTTTATATCGCCATTATCCATCGCAGCCATGTAAGCCATCCACAAACTATCTCGAACTTGTCGACTGCTACGTCTGTTTCCACTAGTTACTTCCATCATGAAAGTATTCATAGATTTTCTTGATGGTTCTAGGTTTTCTGAATCCTTTGTAGCTTCTGCCGCAAGTGATAAGCGCGCGGTCTCAGAAGTATCTGCTATGTGTTGTAGTTGCTGTTTCCCGACGCCATAGTGGACCTAACAGTCGAAAACATAAATTATTCGTGCTTCATTTGTAAAAATAAATTGAAATTGTTTAAAAGAATACATGGCATGAAATGGTCTGTGTTACTAAAAACTTGGGTAGACTTTACAACGCATGCTGTGTATAATTTATTTTAGATGACATCGTTTTCAAAACAATTTAGGTCGTTTTTGCTATGTGAAGGTTTTTTGCTTGTTAAGGCTGTGCACGGTGTTTAACCATACAAACAATCAAGCCATTGTGAAAAAACGCAAAAGTCTTTTTTTCTACTAAATCATAAAACTGCATTGCATTGATATAACACTAATCACTGAGAACAGGCAGAAAAATTAATAATTCGAACGAATTGCAAGTTGGGAATGCTACAGGTGAATATCAAAACAATACCCCCAAGTTTATCTGTCGAATTGTTTAATTCCATCTTTGGAAAAATTGACTAAGTTTTCATTGGGGCATTCAAACCACGTAAAAGTAAAAGTAAGATAAATAGAATGGTAAGTAATATTCGATAGATTCAGTTCTAGCTATATGCTCTGACATGTTGTTATATTCAGAGGCCGGTTGTACGTAGCATGGATAGCGCTGTCCATTGGATAGCGAAAATTTTCAAACTTGTAAAAAAGGTGTTTATGTTTTTCCCACGACAAAGAAATTTTGTAATCATTGAAACAATATTTTATTTCAGTGATTGCACAACTCAAATCGTATATTTTTCTCTTATAAGAGATTCTATGAACGTTCAGAAAAATTTTCTATCCAGTGGATAACGATATCCAGGCTTCGTGCAACCGGCCCCAGATCTAAAGCTTTGATGTACACGAATGTAACACGATCACTGATCATTGATCAAGACTACTTTGCAAAAATGAAATTATAACAGCATCCCACAGGCACATTGGAAACCTGTTCACCCGATCCGATTTATGGAATCCGATTATTCTGGTTCCAAAATTTGGTTGCCTGTTCCGATTCAGACAGTCTGATCATTTTGTTGGTATTTATATTCGTGTGAGCAGCCACTTGTTATCCTGTACATTTATCGATATATTTTTCGTATTTTTGTTTCGTTTTCCAAGTGTTTTTCAAATCTATGTGATTTGACTAGTCAGATTTCTCTCATCTTGTCTAATAAAAATAGAGAAAGTACTATTTTCGACCAATTTTTAGATTGACGGATCCGACTATCGGAGACACACTTTATATATGTGCTCGTGTGATCTGTTTTTTACGATCTGAAAAATCGGATCGTGTGAACGGGCCTTAACGGTGACTTACTCGGTTCTCGCTCTTTTTCCTTCTTGCCAGTTTCAACTTCATACAGCATTCAACAATGAAGAACATATAAATACCAACAAATATGACAAATGCTCTCCACAGAGTTTCTTTTTCGTCGTTTCCTCCTTCATCATGATTGTGCTCAGAATGGGGAATAAGACTCTGATAAAAAGAAAACAATAGAGTTTCACAACTGCTATATGGAGCGCAAGCCAGAGGTTTTTTCCGTATTCACTTTCTTCTTAAGTACATGCAGCAAATGAAGACAAGGGTACGTTTTTTTGAATACAAGTCTCAGCTTATTGACTTTGTAGAGAGAAAACACTCCAATCAATGGTATCCATAGCATAGAAGATATTTACAGAACACTCATTTTTATGTGTCGTGAATCCATGCAACATTTATATAGATCCAGAAATGATGAAATGCTGAACGAGAAATCAATCTTATAAAACAAAGGAACAAATCGTAATTCTTTGATGATCCATTACTTCACAAGAATTTATAAAACAAAAAATCAAACGGAGATGTTAAAACTTCGCATGACAAAAATTAACTAAAAGACAAAGGTCTTTGTTTCTCCTAAGCTACACAGACAAGACATAGGGGCCGATTACGCGGAGCAGTTTCAGCCCGGGCCTGTTATATTATCCTATTAAAATAGCGTACGCGATTACATGAGAACAATTCTATTTTGAGATACCCGGGCTGAAAATTCTGTCATGTAATCGTTTCAGCCCGGGTTGAAATCACAGCTGAAATTATTCACGAATGCGTAATTGCGTACTTATTGCTTATGATGACGACAACAAATTAAGGACAAGTGTCGATCACGCTTCGGACGAGCTTCGTAAACTTCAGCCCAGTCTAAACACCGGACTGAAATTGACCATATAAACACACAGAATTTCAGCCCGAGCTGAAATTGCTCCATGTAATCGGCCCCTTAAAAGTACAACAATTTTCGTAGGGAATTGTTTTTTAATTGCTTTGTGTTTTAACTAATTATTCTCAAAAATATTTTTGACATGATAGAATCATGCATTTAAAACAATTCTAGGGCAAGGTTTTCTGGCCAAATCATGCATAGGAATAAAGAACTCTTCTGTCAGCATGTATATACATCAAATTTAAGTGATGACGAAACATGCAGGAATGAGTCTTGAGAAATGCTACACTTTTTTAACAAAGGTTGTTCTTGCATTCATGTTTTGCTAGGTAAGGCTACTTTTTGAAATTAATAGCTGCTGCAACGAACATACATACATGTGGGATTAAATGAAGTAGAGCATCACCAGCCAAACATCCAATAGCCAATGCCACCAAAAACGACATCAGTTTGTTGTAAAATGATTTTCCCAGCAGTGGTATGACAACGATAACCATTAGAGAACTGAGGCTAATGATAGCTATTGCAGCGATCGCATAACCCCACACTAAAGTAAAAAATATAAATTTACGGATAGAAAACTTTCTTCATGAGTCGTTAAAGCGGCCATGTTGGAAAAGTACATCATTTAAGATTTTTCCACAGCATGGCAACCGACCAAAACACTCTTCTAGAGTTAAAGAAACTTGTGGATAAGTTACGAGAAATAAGAATTTTGGGGAAAACAAGAGGATAAAAAATCTTGCCTTTTCTCAAGGCAATGTATACATTTCAAAAGGCCTAAACTTCTGTGAAGTTGTCATTTTTTCGTATTCCCTTAATTAATCTAAGTGTTTAAGTATCGTTAATTAAGTATCATTAATTTGAAATAAAGTCAAAAAATTACTTTAAATCTTGTCTCTTGTTTGTGTAACCCAAATCTTGAAATAAAAAATGATGTTTTTTGAAGTACGTTTTATCATGTAGCTATTTCTTGAAATCAATGGCTGGAAAATATTTTCATTCATATAAAAAATGGCTTTTCCAACTGATAAGAAACAGGTTATTCATGCATGTTAAAATTATAAAATAGAGACTGCAAAATTTACCAATTCCCATTTGACCATTTTCACATAACAACTAAATTTTAAATCGAATAAACTGATCAAAAATGGTGTGTATCATGTAGAAAAGAAATATGTAATAATGTGAATATTCACATTCTCAATATGTTATAATTGCTGCTGAAAGGGAGGAGCTCTGTTCTCCTTTAGAAAAAAAGTGAGGGGTCAACATTCCCCATATCCACTCCCTTCCGACATCCCGGGAAAGAGATATTAAAATCATATTTGTTCTACAATAAGCTGACATTTTTTGGAAATAGTTCAAAGATTGATCATGACAAACAGTATAGTTTGTAGTCTTATAGAATATGATGCGTCGAGGAATGTACTCTTGAAAATATTTACAAACTGTTGTTTACATCGTACCCGCGATACTTCGGGAAATCATTCTTCACTTTTGCCGTAGTATGAAAAATAACGTGGAACGTGCCATACTTGTGGTTATAATTAAATAATCACAAACTTAAGTTACATCTGCAAGTCCGTAGCACGCCTCAGTTAGTTTAGCAGGTAGAGTGACAAAGTAGTTTTGCTTATTTTGATTGTAATACAATTTGAATTTTTGGGCAAGATATAGCGTGATTTGAGCACACTATGGAGTGTTGCATCGGTCGCACTTGCGGAAGAAATTTTCTTATCGTGAAAAGAATTTTTGTTAATTTTATACTCTGTTAAGCATTGGCACTTTCATTCTTTTTTAAATCGATGTCTTCCTTCCAAGCCTTTGTTCTAAAATCATAAGCCGCCATCCTTTACCTTAATTTTTGGCATGGGTGCTCCATTTGTAAAACTAATTGTTGTGCGTGCCACAAAAAGCATGACGGTTTAATATGACAGCCATAGGCCATGAAGATTTTCATTTCAATTTATGTCGACGTTTGTAAAAAGTTTTTATTGCAGTTGACTTTCACTTTAGATTTTAAATATTTTAAAAAAAAGTTTTCAAATAACGTTTTCATAGATTTACTTTTATTTTTGTTAACTTTTAATTCATATTTCTTCGAATTTTTATAGAAAAATATTTGTGAATTACTAATGACAGTCTTAGGCCACCTTAGGGATGAGACATCATTATGCAATAATAGTAATATCTTTTACACAACGTGTATCAAAAAAAGTAATCATATATGAATCGTTTAAAAATCAGCGCGCAAGGAATGCAAAAACATGTCGTGGAAAGGATATTTAGACTTGCAAATGTTCATTTGGCATTTAACCTGTCACAAATTAAAACCTTTTTTTAGGATAAGAACTGTTTTAGCAAGAAACAGTTTTCAAATATCTTGGGCAGGAAAATGAAATGGTGGAAAGCAATTGGACGTTTATTTTAAATGTCTTATAACCATTGTGCTCTTAGAAAAAAATTGGAATGCATCATAACACGACGTAAAAATACGGAAATCGACAAAAAATGTGGCACATGCTGCTCGAGCTTACACAAACGAAAAATCCAAAATAGCCCGTAATTTCATAGGGTAACAACGTTCGTGTTCACATTAGTCAAATTTCTTAAAACTTTGTTAGCTCGAACAACATGTGCCATGTTTATACCCTATATATGTTCCAATTGCTTCTTAGCAAAGTCATTTCCGTGCTCAAGATATTTGAAAAGTACTTCTCGGTAACACAATTTTTACATTAAAAAATGTTTATTATTTGCGACAGTTTTATTGCCATTGAACCATTTGCAGTTAAATCAAATAATTCTCACAAGATTTTTGAGATCTTGCGACTTTAGCAAAACTTTCCAAATTGCTCATTTTATGTAATGCACCTTGTATATAGCATTTCATCAAAGGCCGCGGTTTTGAGTCTGTTATGAAAAGGTTACGAACATTTTCATTGTTTACTGTGAAGAAACCGTTATACTTGCAGTGGCGTAGCTAGCGGTCCCGCTACTCCCGCCCGGCGGGAGTAGAAATTTCCCAAAAAAATAATAAATATTCTATTTGGACATAAGATATACATTATTTCACGAACAATTTGTAATATTATGTTTTATTCGTTCATATTTACGCTTTTATTAGGTGGTTCGTAATCGTAATACAGCAAAATCTCAAGATTTGTTATGTAACCTAGCAACCGCCTTTTCTCGCACATTGCATACTCGCGCGATTCTCCACGTATTCCGCCCATCTTCAGAGGGCGGAACATACAATATAATTCTATATAAGAAGTTTTGAATTCTGGTTGGCTAAGGGACTTGACGCATGCTCAAATCTGCTGTTTTTATAGTCGAACTCCCGCTATTTTAAATTGGCGGAGGTTGTAATTATTCGACCTTTTAATACGAGTACAGCGATTAGTGATTATCAAATTACGTATCATTGTCGGTATTAATTTTCCATTGTGTTTACTCTCAAATTGCTATTTTGTATTTGTGTATGACACAATGGCTTCAAGTGCGACTGCGATTTGCTCAACTGATGTTGATTTAGTAAATAGCTTATTAGCTAAACCGTTCTCTGCTCGATCGTCGGTCGAAAAGAATGTTATCGTTCATGAACGGCCTACTCCTGATTTAACTATCCAAAATAAGGGAAGACCATTTCAGAGAGATTGGTATGAGGCGAAGGACTGGCTGTGTGGCAGTACAACCTTGCAGAAAGTGTTTTGTTGGCCATGTCTAATGTTTTCCCCAAAAACATCGCCATCGTGGACTAAGAATGGCTACAACGATATGCGGAGTATTATGTCTGATGCTAAGAAGCATGAAAAATCTAAATCGCATTTGACTGCATTTAAGACATGGAAAAGGTATGGAGCTAGTGAACGAATTGATTGTCTTATGTCCCTCGCTAGAAGAAATGAGATTCAGCGTCACAATGAGGAGGTAAGACAAAATCGAGAAATTTTAAAAACTGTTACTGAGGCCGTGCTGTATTTGTCAAAGCAAGAGTTGCCATTTAGAGGTCACAATGAGTCCGAAGGTAGCTTGAACAAAGGTAATTATAGAGAGTTGCTCGAATGTTTTGCTAAGTTTGATTCTGTATTTGAGCGTCGACTGCACAGTAGACTAGCAGAATCTGATATAGTTGGTGACAGAAGATTTACTGGAGTCTCCCCAGAAATTCAAAATGGTCTTATCAGCTGTCTTGATTCAATTATTGAAGATGAAGTCAGAAAGGAAATAAATGATTGCACATTTATGAGTATTCAGGTTGATGAAGCATCTGATGTCTCCACCAAAGAGCAGCTAAGTGTGATTGCTCGGTTTGACAAAGAAAGTGAAATTATGGAGAGGCAATTAGGATTTGTGGATGTAAGTCTGAACAGAAATGCCACAGCAATATCACAAGTTGTCAAAGATAAACTTGGTGAGTATTCTAATATAAAAGAAAAACTGGTTTTACAAACATATGATGGTGCTTCTGTCATGTCTGGCCATATCAATGGTGTTCAAGCATTGGTTCGACAAGAGTATCCTTTTGCTCATTTTGTTCATTGTGCAGCTCATAGATTGAACCTGGTCCTATGCCAGTCAGCCTCATCAATTTCTTCTGTTAAAATCTTTTTTATTAATATAGCTACATTCAGCACATTTACAAGCAATGCCCCAAAAAGAAAAGCTTTTCTCACATCTAACAACCTTGAGTTTCCTGCCCTGGTGAAACAAGATGGTATTATCGCTCTAGATTAATCAATGTATTGCACAAAACTATGAAAAACTTTTAGATATTTTTGAGGGGTACTTGAACAACCAGCTGGGTGGGATGATGAGTCATTAAGTAAAATAAGTGGCTTACTGCATTATCTTGATAGCTTTTGTTTTCTAGTGTGTGTTTTTTACAGGATTTTAGAACAGTCCACAATTTTGTATTCCATTCTTCAAAATAGGGAAACACATTTTAACTATGGCATAAGCAAGATTGACAATTTCAAGCAGTTTATTGTGTCACTTCGCACAGATCAAGCTTTCACCGAGTTTTACCAAACTGCACAAGAAAAAGTAGGCCCACCAGCAACCAGAGCAGATAGTAGATACAATTACAAACAGCTTTATTTTGAGATTATATATTCCCTTAAAGGCATGCTAAGTGAACGATTTCAAGATATTAATCAGTTCGAGTTTTTAGACCTTGTAAATCCTAAACTATTTACTACATGGAAGGGCATAGTTCCACAGGAGAAGATCAATCTTCTCAAAGATAAGTATAGTCCTCTTTTTGACATCCAAACTTTGGAGAGTCAACTTTCCTTCATTTACAACGACAAGGACTTTCACAAAGAGTGCAGTAATGAGGTTCTTACATACATCTTCAAATTTAATCTCCAGTCGAGTTTAGGTCAAGTGGTAAATTTGTTAAAATGGTGTGTTGGCAGTGGCAAGTGCTTCAGTAGAGAGGTCGTTTTCTTGCTTAAAAAGGGTAAAAAGCTATTTAAGAAATAGAATGGGTCAAGGTCGGCTTAGCTCTTTGTGTAGAATATCTATTCACAAAGATATCATTGAAAAGAAAGAGGAATCAGAGGTGTTGCATGACGAGGTGGTTGAAAAATTTGTAGAAAAACCCAGGAGGCTGGCCTTTCTTTATAAATGATGAGTATAGTATGTGTTTTGATATTTGTTCGTATAATACATGGTACTTCATTGAGAAAATTAAGCATAAGTTTAAAGAATAAAGCCATCCCTGTCTACTTGCCCCAATCTAAACAAGTTTAAACTAACAAGTAGAATGCTAAGAAAAATCTCTCTCTATGCACTTTAGAAGTGTCGTATACTATATTATTTTTTGCGCTAATACAAATTTCTTCTGTTTATGCAGGGGCAGTGATGAGTAAATTATGTTTTAGGGGACAATTGTCTCCTGCGTAACGTTTCTCTGAGCCACCTTTAGTACCTTTTTAACTAGTTGCAGTTTCAACGATTGCCACATAAAGAATGCAGCTAACAAAAATGGGTTTTTATAAATTATTGTACAACAAATAATTCGCCCTCGAAATCGCAAGAAATGCTGTTTCCAAGGCTCTGGATTTCAAAATTTTCCGGGGGAGCATGCCCCCGGACCCCCCCCCCAGTGGGGTCGCGCCTCCGGCGCGAGATGGATTGGCGGGAGTGACTATTTTTCCTAGCTACGCCACTGTATACTTGCGTCTGTAAACATAAAACTATAGTTATTAATATAAGAGTCAGGCAAATACAAAAGGCTTAATATTGCTTTTTCTTTATCAATAGTGTATTTTGTCGTTCAGGTAGGTTCTTTTAAGTTGAACATGAATCTAAATGATTTTATTCAAATATTTTCATGACTAACATTCTAAATGTAGGATTCAACGAGCGTATTCTGCGCGTCTGCATATTTTGCACGGCAAGAGTTTGGCTGACAAGATTGGGACAGCAAATACAGCTGAATTTTATTGTAATGTTTACAAATTGCCAAGTAGATAGCTTCTAACTAACCTTCTCCTGTCGTAAGTTTATGATCTTTTCCTTCGTGGTTCTCATTTTTACGTTGATCAATTTTACTAACGAGAATTGCAAATACGGCAGGACAGATTTCTTTAAATTTTTTTTCATTTATTTCTTTATCAAGTGTGTGATGCTCTTTGAGGATTTCATTAAAGTCTTTGCACTGGAAAAGATGCAGGTAACAAAAAGCAATAAGTTCAATGAGTAAAAAGAGACAAAACTTCAACTTACAATAAAAGATATACAACTTTAAGTTTTATAACAGAAACAAGTCAAATTAACTGTTCCTTAACTCTACAACATCATTAGTAGCAGATATTATCGGAAATCGAAGTCCCAGCACCGCCAGGTTTTCAAAACTTAGAATTTTTGTTAAGCCATCTTTTACCTTGTATATACTTTAATGTTTATAATAGCTAGGCTCTTGTTTGAATGAATTTTTTTGGAAAAAATAGAGACAGTGCAAGGGGATATAAATTGGAAAATATAATTTATAAAATACTTTCATCTTCATGTAGCAGGAAAAAAACAAAATTGTAGAAGAGCAATTAGTGTACCTTCCCTTCGTGTTTTGTCTCTTCATTGTCGTGGTCATCTTTATGATTATCTTCATGGTCATGATTATCGTTTTTACTATCTTTATGATCATTATCATCTTTATTTTTATGGTTATGATTATCTTCGTGATCATCATTTTCATCTTTGTCATCATTATGGTCATTCAAGTGGGTTTCGTCTTCGTCTTCATGTGAATGGTATTCGGTTTGCTCTTCATTATGAAGATGGTCATCATGACCTCTGTCTGTACGACATGCTTCTACTTTTTGTAAAATTTTGCACAGCTGAGAAGCACCTGTTTTGTATTTCATGTACTTCTCAAAAAATTGTTCCATCAACTTTTTAGAGTGTGAGCCGTTTCCGTTTGGTTCTTTCTCGTGATTTGTTTTGTTTGTTGTCGAGGCACAACTTGCGAGAAGAGTAAATAACAGAACTACAAACAAGAAAAAATTAAGATAAACACATATATTCCACAATACATTTGCTTTGCATTTGGATCAAATCTGCACAATGCAATGTGCAATCTAGTACCTGCAAGGCAGGTACAAATTCATAATGTTCCTTGCACGTAGGTCAAAATTTAATATTGTCAAGATCGTGTCCAAGAATGAGCTGGGTTCCCTCATTCCTTATCACACGAAAATATTTTTAGATTATTTTGCTTATACATATGAACTGGAAGCTAATACTTCATGTCAGAGCACATAAGCATCTCTTTGGTACTCGTTTTCTGTGCTTAATGATTTTCAAGATTTTACTGTCATATGACCTTGTATAGTAGCGCAAATCTCGCCAAGGTGGTGGGTAAGGCCCCTGCTTTGCCTCATAAATAAAATCGGTGTTTTTCTACAATTTGTAAATGTGTCGAAAATGTAAAAACAAAAAATGAACCGTGAATCAAATAAAATAATGCTGCAACATGAACAACTCTACTGGGCAATTCATGCATAGATGTGATTCTCTTTAATCTGCTTTCATTTTATCTGCTTGCTGCTGTCATTTTTAATGAATTAAATAAAAGAAAACGTATGGAATTTTGTTAAAAATCAAAAACGTAAAGTGCAAGGAATTCACAAGCATTGCATCCCATGCAAAAAGTTTCGATACAATTAAAAAATTGTGGCTTCTCCTTTTCCGATAAAAAAGCTCCGGTTGCAATGAAAAGTTTTAGTAAAAAGCTTAGACGTCTAAAAGTTCATAAAATTTAATAGTCGTACCCTTTACAATTAACTTTTGTCCTTGCCAGATAAAAAACTTACTTAGATGTTAATCATGTTATTGATGATGGAGAACATGACAAAGAAGATACTGCAATTTGTCATGAAGTCACTTTATGGTAAAAAAATTTTTACTTGTTATGAGTAATAAGACATCATGTTATCTGTCATAGATAAATTACTTTCTTTTTTGGAAGCTTTACTTTTTTATCAACTAAAACTTGGTATACGTTTGCCATATTATGTTGAAATTTAGACATTTAGTTAGACGTTTACACGTTTGACTCAACTCCGGCTTTAAAGCATTAGAAATTCCAGCTTTACATGAAATGTTCATCAATTCAAAAAATAATTTCCATGAATCAAAATCGGCAGACCGTAGAAATGGAATATAAAACTACATAGAACACAGCTATGAAAGGTGAAAATATAAAACCGGAGGGTTGCGAAGGAGCAAGCTGACCTCTTCACAACTCACCCAGAAAAATTATAAAGGTACGCTTTTTGTGTATACATTGCAGAGGGTCAGTGGGTGCAGCTTTTGAAAGGGGAAGTATAAAGCGAAAATTGCTTTAGTTTTTAGTCATTGTAGCTATATTACCTTTTACGTGTTTCACTTTATTAGTTTTATCATTCTTCCTTTTATAAATTTAACGAAAAGGGACGTAAAAGAGTATACGACAAAGGGGTGCACAGGGAAATTTTCCGGTCCTCTAATAGACCGGTCCGCTACTGGAATCTAGAGAGTGCAATTTGTTAGCACAAAGAGCCGACTTTGTAGTTTGGGTATATTTTTTTAATTAAGGCTCCTCCATTTTCATATTTCGTCTTATTAAGCCCATTTACCCCAAATTTGATCCAATGATTCATTACTGTGGCTTAACAAAAGAGTTATGGAAGAAAAAATTTTACCTGCTAATTTCCAATTTATTTGCATTTTCTTTGCTTGTTCTTCTTCTTTGCCTAAGTAATTATAGAAAAAAATGATTAGATTTCACAGCAATAGAGATTTTCATATGCTACATTATTGTTGCTTGAAAATGCTAGGACTCCAGCCTCATGCAATGTTATTTTTTTGCAATTGCTTGATGAAAGGTTTTTGGCTTTGTTTAATATCGGATTAGTTATAGCTTGTCTTTTTGTACTTTTTTATAGTCGACGTTTTATTATTCTTGGCCCTGAATTAGTTAACCAATTTTTTTGCTTTTGAACTGGCAGTATGAAAACTTGTGATATCCAATTGCTGGGAATCACTTCTCAAAAAATATTTTACGTCATTCATCATCATCATCATTTCCTGAATATGACAAGGAAATAATTCAATACTGTAATAATAAATATCATTATATGGCAAGCATCACTTCCGGCAAAATGACGTACTTTGATTGGCTCGGAAACATTTTTGTTGGTCCATTATTTTCCCGTAATTGATCACGGTCCAAAACGCGTAATTTTACGGTAAGTTGTAAAACATGGAATCTGGAATCGTGGAATCTTTTGGTTTTAAACGATAAAGTAATATTTCTATTTACAAGTTCTAAAGACGCGTTCAATTTACAATTTCAGCATAGTGATTCATGTAAGTTTGCCAATTTTATATGCAATCTGCTCAGAAGAGAGTGATATGAGAAGAAAGGTGCATTAGCGACAATGGCATAATGAAATACGAAGCAAAATACTCGCACCCTGTACGTTATAAAAACGAATTTTGTGAGTTAATTTCATTCATATGCTACAATTCGTGCTATTATACTGATTAATTTATTTATCACTAATAACCGTTATCGTACATAAAGCCCGTAGTCTCTGTGAAAAAAACAAACTCCATACGCCGACGATTCTAGCATCCCATAAATAAGTGCTCGTTGAAATTATCGTTTTTAAAAATGCCTTTTTCAAATCAAAACCTTACGCGCTTCTCCGGCCTAGTTAAGTCTGACAAAGACTGTAGCATATTGCATATGGACTTGGATATTATAACACGTGATTATCTCCGCTCATTTGACATACCGTCGCCGGTTTCCATTTTTTCACTACATATTTTCACCCATAAGTCTCATATGCTACAAACTGTTAAGTTTTGGTTAATACCAACAAATAAAGACATCACAAATAACTATACGATCAGATTTAAAAATTAACGTCTTTTTTACAATGGCTAAACTGCTCTATTTATTTAAGTTCTATTTACTTACAATAACGCAAAGCTACTAGAAAATATTAAAAATATTGCCGTGATTACACATAAGTATCTCTCGAAACACTCATACCTGAGTTAAGTATTTACTAATGACGGGAAGAATATGAGACCATATCTTGACAACATTGTGATAGCAAGAGATTTGTCATTTCGTAAAAGCACGCAAAACATACGTTTACTCTCTGCGTTTGGCCGTGATAAATGTCTTAAAACATGCACTTTTGCCGTGTGTATGGGATGATCTTTCTGAAAAATTACTCGAGGATAGAAGCAATCGTCTGTTACGAATGAAGACAAACAACAAATATTATTGCAATCCATAATTCTAGCATTGTTTAGAATTAGTGTGATAAGTCATTTGTGTTCCTATTCTCTTTATCTTAAACATTCCTGTCAAAAAGCACAAAAAAGTCTAAATATCGTTGTTAAGGCTGCTTTCCACTGTTGCGTTTTTTAACGCGCGTTCACTTACGATTCTGTGCGTATCCTCCAAGCGCGTAAACGCACTCTTAAGATATGCTCTGATATTCTTCCTGTAATTATTAAATAATTAAGTCAAGTGTAACGAACTAATTTTTTTATATATATATATATTTTATTTATATATAAAGCCATCATCAGAGTATATACATAATAAATTTATCCTAACACTGTTTTTAATATGCACATTATAAACATGTGACTTGGACGAGATTTGAACTCGCACCTTCGGGATACTAGTCCGCCGCTCTACCTGTTGAGCTACCAAGCCCACAGGGGTTGGAGACGAGTCAAATCTCTATTAAACTGCGTATGTACGAGAGATTCTCGCCACTATAACAGTTTACTGGATGGCAACGTGTTTCGACTTTATTCCAAAGCCATCATCACCCTGTGGGCTTGATAGCTCAACAGGTAGAGCGGCGGACTAGTATCCCGAATGTACGAGTTCAAATCTCCTCCAAGTCACATGCTTTTCTTGTGCATATTAAAAACCGTGTTAGGATTAATATATCATGTATATAATCTGATGATGGCTTTGGAATAAAGTCGAAACACGGTGCCATCCAGTGAACTGTAAAAGTGGCGAGAATCTCTCGTCCATACGCAGTTTAAAAGAGATTTGACTCGTCTCCAATCCCTGTGGGCTTGGTAACTCAACAGGTAGAGTAGCAGACAAGTATCCCGAGCTCAAATCTCGTCTAAGTCACATGTTTTTCATGTGCATATTAAAAACCGTGTTAGGATTAACATAAAATGAATTTGCGGATCACGTGCTTTACAGTGAAGTATTCTTTTGCCAATTGATTTACAAGTTGCAAAAAGATGGGAAAAAGTTGAGGAGAAACTTATTGAAGAAATTGAAAAATACCAAGCGCTTTGGAATACAAAAGACACTAACTATAAGAACAAAAATATTAAGGAAAATGCTTGGCAAATAATGGCTGATGCTGTGAATGCAGCTTGTCAAGCTTGCTTTCTCGGTCTTTACTGAGAAATATCTTGTACAAAATATGTACAAAAATACCTCGGTCCGTTATTTCTCTGTAAAGACCTCAAGCTCGGTTATTATGGGCTTAGTAATCAATATAATTATAATTGTATACTCAGTCAATTTACACGTTGCTCGATTCACAACAACTACGCAGGTGTTTAAAAAGACGACGACTTTATCCCATATTCGCATTCGTAGTAGAGCTATAAAGCACTACAACTGAAACAGATTCAAAATAAAAAAAGACACATATTCAGTATAATATATCTGAATAAATAACAAAAGCTCTGCTATCATGCAGGCGTATTAGCTTGCTATGTTAAGTAGTAGCTATATATGTGCCGGTCATCATAGACGTACGAGAGCACCCATTTCTGCGGAGGAAAGGATGGTGGTTTGGGGCTTAGCTTGCATTCCAAAATTTGGACTAAAATCAATGAAATCAAGATATATTATCTTTTCAGTCTTCATGCAGACGCGTTTAATGGCATGTTCGTACTGTAGCTACTCGCAACACTAAAGTTGCGACGTTATGAAGGATGAGAGATGAATGTATTTGTAAAAAAAAACATGTCTCTTTTGCTAATCTTAAAAAAATTAACTCGACAATGCTTATCTTTCTGATATTCCGGCACGTTTGTGTCATATTTATGCTACTTATTAACTAAAGAGTTGGCAATATGAAAGACATGAATATTTTTGTAAGAGACAAATTATTTGCTAATCTTTCAGGCTGTAACGTGAAAGACGGGCTATTTAGTATATGTCACTTATTGTGAAATTTATAATTATTTCATAGTATAACAAATATGTAAAAAATTGCGTTTCGATCAAAATGATACATTGGCTAGAAAAGAGTAGCTAGTAGCTACATAGCCTAATGTTTAAATAGCCTAATGTTTAAATAGCGTATTAAGATACTATATACATAAATTACAGTGTTTTTCAAACTTTATACCAAATGTCAATATATGATTCCATGTTTCATAAAATGTAACTATATTGTGCTTACATAATAGTTCTTTGGTATGTTGAAAAACCTGGCTAGTTATGTACTGACTAGAAGGTGTTCAGTTAGCTGGTCAAATGGCATTTCGTGTCACTGTTTTAAGCATCGGCATTTATTAGCCGTGTTTGTAAAAAATTTAATGTGCATGGAAAAGGATAGTTGAAACAATGTAGATATAAATCTTCCTTGATAAACGCTTTTAGTTATCTTTATGAAAGCTTTATTGTCACATCTGCATTTTATTCTCGTATCAGTCCGTCAGGTAATCGGAATTTTGATTAACCTTCATAAACTTCCGTTTTGATTCGCTATGGTTGTCCTAACAGCTGTGAAAAGAGATCAGTGCGTGGGTAATGTTATACTGCAATAAGCTACAACAAACTTCAGCTTTCTAAATATATGTAAACTTTTCGATCAACGCTAAACGATTTTTAACAAGTTCAGCTGTTTAGTGTTTAAAACTCATTTAAAAGCGCAACAGTGACGTTAAAATCCAATTTGTAAACCCTTGCGATCAGGATCATAACAATTAAAAGTCTTTTTGAGGTTGAACTTAATGGTGTTCAAAATGACGTATGCATCGCATTTGTTTAAATAACATTCTTTAAAGTACGAGATTAACTCAATGTTACAGTTTTCAGCGGTAGTTTACGCTACCATTAAACATATCAAAAATACTGTTGAAATCAGTACAACACTCTGCTGTAACTGTTTTCAATCGGCATAGCACATGGATCCCACATATAAATGCACTTTTCTGCTTGTATAACATACATAAAGCGACCATAATGTGTTCAACAAGCGAAGGTCTTTTAATTGATTTCCGACAATAACGATGCAACAAAACAGCTGGCAATTTCGATTTTTGCATCAAATCATAAACTGACAGCGCTAAATTGTACAGACATATTTTCAAAAATGATTTTGTGACAGTTGCTTGTTTCATGTTCAAACGAATCAAGTTTAGTAATGTTCAACAAAGTTTGCGCGTAGGGAAACAAAGACTGTTCAAGTCAATTATTCACGTGTTGAGAGTACATTGTTTATATCGATTTTGGGTAAAAGTTATTAACATTTATTGTGACAGACATAATCGCCAATAGATTACAGTACCTACCGTTACCTTTATTGTAGCTTTATTTGCAAATGCTCTTCAGTGTCTGAATTGTTGCGTGAATGGACATCTACCAGCTTTAATAAATAAATTGATATTGTAAATATCAAATAATAAATTGATAAAGTGACCTTTGACACGTGAAATACTACACGACATACTTTGCACGTTTTAGTTGTTAAGTGATAACAATAATTACTGTCGTGACGTTAGTCTGTATTTTACTACATTATGCACTTAACCTGTTTGTTTTGCTGACATCGCCTGGGTTATGGAAAGGCAAACATCTATAGGTTTGGCTTTCAAGTTTCAAGGGCTTGTCCACTCTATAAAAACTCAGTTAAAATTTCAGAAATATCATCCATAAGGATAAAAAGTCAAAATAATTTAATACTATACTATTAAGTACGTACATCCACATCAGTGTCTCGAATCAACTCGCTATGTCGCTATTCTATCAAATTACAGTCTAGAAATGTCTTAATGCATTGCATGAATGAAGTAATCAGAAACAGCCAGATTCTGTTCATTGGTATGAGCAAATTGTTAACACACAACACTGCATATATTTGTTGACCTTTAAGCGCATTTACCTACGTCCAAGAAACTTTTAGCTACACGACGTGCGATTGATATCAAATGCGCATTTTAAAACGCGCTGCTTTGTGAAATCAAAAAATTCGATGTACAAAGTTTGATGAGTTAAGTACGTTATTTTTCGATGGTTTAGGCACCATATTTCTCTTCATGAGCAAAAAAATAAGTTGCAGGCAATAGCTCGACTTATAGCTTTGCTGCTTATGAATTAATTTAAATACTAAAGAGTATTAACTGACACAACAAGCCATTTTTACAAAAGGGAAAAGCAGAAAATTGCGCTGCGATTGTTATCGTGAACACACAGATATTGCACGGCAAATAGCAGAGTACTTTATTTAGACTATGTCTGTATTTTAGAGAGCAATTATAGCCGAAATGTTTTAAACTTTCCTGCGTGTGTAGTGTGTACTCGATTATGCAATTTAAACAAATGGCTGAAATAATTTACGACCATTCTCTCTTGTTTGACTTTTCTGTTTCTTGTTACTCTTTTATATTTTACAGTTGGCAAACGAGATTTTAAATGTTTAAGTCCGCTTTGTAAATGAACAGGAAGAGCATGTTCTAATGAAAGCTTCGCTTTATTTGACACATCCACACTATTTCTCTACCCAAATGTTTATCATAATGAAACATATGTTAAATCAACTGCCAAAATTCTTTCTCGGATTATTATCTAATTGAGAAAGAGCATGCGCTTGTCGCTTGTCCATTATGCATATTGTCCGAACGAATTTTAATGGTTTTAACCAATTCGATTACGTAGGCAACGACTTCTATATAAAACAAGTGCAAGAAAAGTTAATCATCATATAATAGAGGCCAGCTAAGCTATTCTACAATGCAAATGTTTTACTCAAACTGAATTCTCGTACTAATATCAATCACTAGCTAAATATTTATGTTTGGGGACTAATTATGCTAGGTAGCTCATTAGACTGTTTCTACTTTTGCCAGCTAAGCAATTATTTCAAAAAATAGTCAAAAGTTATGTTCAATGGTAAAAACCAAATTTCGATGCCTGTTGAGCTCCGATATTTGGTCAATTGCAAGTTACTCACGGTCGTCTATTTATATAAGACATTCGAAAGTGAATGATATCAGGTGCAGAGATAGCATATCGAATTCTTTTGATACGCTCTTGAATCCTCGCTGTCGTAAAATTATTCTCATAGTAAGCCGAAATGATGTTTTAATAAAGCAATCCAAACCATGAGGAAAATGCTTGACATTTTAACTTCAAAAACATCCAACATCATAATCAATCAATGTCGAAAATGGAAAATACAAAGCATTTTTGAAATGACGATATATAGTGCATGAACCGACAATCAAACAAATACACCATGAGCATACTTAAACAAGTAATAATTAAGGCCATAATTCAGAAAACAGTCGCGTTTACCTACCTAAACGCACACACCTGAGCAGCAAACGAAACATTGCTCCATTGATGGTCACACTCCTTTAACTCATTTTACTTCAAATTTATACATCTAGTTTTTCATGTCAGTAAGTAATTATTATTGGTAAGGCAATCCTTTAACTACTACAAATATATACTTATTTTTTGCCATAAAAAGGAAAGGTGCAGAATGCTTCGTTTCAGGTGTTAAATAGTTTGCCTTAAACTATTACTACCTAAATGAGTATGAGGTCACAAAACTGTGACGGTTTCTGAATTCTATATTATATGGCAAGCGAAAACATCAATCATGCATATCAAAAAATGCGTGTTGAAAAGAGCACTCGTTAGGCTACTTGAAATAAAATGTAGAATTTATAGTAAAATCTCTATCGAGAATAATAAGAACCTTCTCCTGGCGGATAAAACTAGTCGAAATTCGCCAATTCTGTGAGAAATAAAAATTAAGATCCTTGCATATATTTCCTAAAAATGAAATAGACTCTCAAAGGCCAAAAAAAGGTTAATTTTGTTGTTCGACAACGTTTCACCGGTTTCACCCCTTCGTGGATGTCTTTGCTCAGCGTATTTTAATGAGTCGTGTTTTAACGTATGTAAATGTTTGCTTGCCACGAAGCTCGAAACGAAAAGAAGAAATATTTGATTCCGACAATCAGTTTGGCTGGAATCGGTCTTTGCAAAAACGGGAAATTGACTTAGCTGGACTACGACGGGTTAGACAGTTAGACCTGCATTCACAAGTATTCTAAGAACAGAATTACAATTATTGTGGAAGAGAAGTCAAGAAAAAAGTCCTTTGACAAAATATGAGCTGGTTGAAGATAATCAAAGCATCATTTTAAAATATTGACTACCATGAGGAGATCAGTATGAACTATAAAGATTGTATGCATGATAAAAACAGGCCTGACAGTTCTCTTGATACAGTGTCCATCAAAACGTTTTTGGGAATCTTCAGGGTAATGAGTTTGTCTTTAACTTTGTTTGATTAGAAAATAGACATTGTAATCATTAATATTTAAAGTAATTGAGTAGCATACAAACTAAATCAAGACTATAGACCCTTTGTAGTGACGTCACGCACGCTTAGCAACTGTTGCTGGGGGAGCATCTGGAGGACAAGCAGGGGCCGGTTGTATAAAGCTCTTAACTACTTTTTAACTACACTTTTTGCAGTTAAAAGGTAGATAAATTTAACCACGCGCTTAAGTCGGTTGTATAAAAAAGTAGTTAGCGCTAACTGCAGTTAAAAGTTAGTTAAAGTTAACTAAGCTATGGAGCATAGTTAACTTTTCAGAACACAGTTAAATATGGCGGCTTAGCTTCTTAAAGACAATTATGGGCTAGATGTTGTTGATCAACAAGGCTTTACCTTGAGTTTTTAATCACAAATGTATCTTCCATGGCAAAGGCTTTTAGAATAAAAGCTTTGTGGACGGTATACTACATTCGTCAGTGCTGTAAACATCCCAAGTTTTGCTGACGAAAAATAGCCAACAACTTACCGCATAACAAATCCCTTTTTACACAAGAGCAATTGCATTTTGTATTGTCTTTTTTGCGTCCGGTAGCTCTTTCAACTCATAAGTGAGACTCTCGATTGAGATAGAGCCACTTCTTAAAAATTAGTGCTCATAACTCGCTGACGTTTTCTTACAAACAGGTACAATTCGTTCAATGACAAAAAAAAGAAAGAATGTTATTCGAGTAATGAATCCTATAGCCTTGGATGTATCAAATATTCAAATTGCGGGTTTTTCCCTATGCATTTTGCTTCATTGAATATCATATAAACTCATTGCTCCATGGAAAATAAACTAGATTATGTTAAAACAAAGAGGTACTACAGTATAAATGTTGTGCTAAATATACCAATGATAATACATATAGATACATGAGCATTACAACAGTTTTTATTCATGACTACTCTTTTGTGTATCAGCTGCATGAGATACAATGATGTTAGTTTCTTAAATACATAAAACATTTCATTAGCATGCAAGGTGAAGGTCCATGTTCCTTGATATATATATACATTACCCATTGCACATGGTTTATTACACAAGCAGAAAATATACATGACAGTCAATTAGTGGGTTTTATTGATATTTCATCATATATTTCCTATGTAAAAATGTTTATTTTTTATGTACATACAATCTTGGCTGCCAATATTTTTCTAAGAAGCAGAAAGCTCTAGCTGCTGTTTGATGATTTAAAAAATATGAAAAAAATTAAAACTCCCAAGCTTTAGACAAAATAGGCTAATAAATAACAAAGGCATAAATAAAAGTTTCATAGCTAAGGCTCATTAACAAATATACCCAATAGTTTTTATAACTCAGTTTTTGCAAGGCAGAATTAAGAACAAATAAGTATTTTGTGTATAGCTGTGAATATAACATGTCACAAGCAGAGAAGAGACAGTTGCTGGATTACATGGCTACTAACTCTGATGACTCAAAGAAATGTTTTCTAATAATAAAAAAGTCCATCACTGTCATCTTTACAAATATGTGTGACTTATGTCTGTACAGACACATTTCTTTCAAGCATTTTACTCAGCTGTTATAAAGAGAAACGAAACGACCTTTTCTTTTGTTACCCTCAATCTCTCAGTTTTAAATTCTATAAAAGCAAGGCCATTTAAATACTTAAATCCTTGCACATAAAACACAATATGAATCAATTTGAGAAGAGTTCATTGTTTCGTTTGCCAAAGTCCATTATATACAATTGGTACTTGAAATAAAGCAGTCTTTGCCGAGACTCATATCATTCATCAACATCGTACTGTATTACACAGAAGATAAGAGTCGATTTTCTTGAGAAAAGTCCAAAGTATATGCTGCAATTTAATTCGGTTACCATGTCACCGTGAATTGTTTATTAAATTTTCTTTTCGCATCATCAACATCCGTAAAAACGACAATAGTTTGCCATATTTTAAGATTTTTACATAAGCCAAGAGATTTTTCTTGATTTTGAAGTCATTTAATGGTTCACTTGATCGCCATTACAAAGCATAAATTGATTAAACTTTATGTCATT